GTGTATTTAAGATATATTTGTAAGATTAAAGGTGTAGAATAGTAGGTACGTTTATGGTATATAAAAGCAGGTATGTTTATGGTATATTTAGAGCAGGTATGTTGAAGGTGTATTTAAACCATTGTATTTTAGGTATATGGAAATCAGGCATATTTAAAGTATATTTATAGCAGTTATACTAAAGATAAATTGAACGCAGGTATAATTAAGGTAAATTTATAGACGTAAGAATAAGATATATTTACACTATAGGTACTGTACATTTCAGCTATGATTACATATCTAAGATACATGTATAGCAGGTACACTGAAGATATATTTATAGCAGGTATAGTCATAGCAGGTATATTCAAGATATATCTATAGCAGGCACATTTCAGATATTTACAGTAATAAGGATAATAGATATTTACAACTTCAGAAGATACGTTAATATTAATGGGAATTTGTGGTATTTATTTTGCTGTTCATGCTAATGTTCTTGTTTATTTACAGTAGTAAGAATAACGGATATCTGCAGCAGCTCAAGAAGATTCGTTAATATTAATGGGAATTTGTGGTATTTATTTTGCTGTTAATGCTAATGTTCTTGTTTTTCTTCAAGGCAGTTGGTATATAAGTATCTTGACATACTCTATATGACATTTTTGGTGATTTATATATTCACTGTCAGAAATGCGATTCTTGGTTCATGTTGACAAAAGTAGAAAGGTATGAATGAGAATGAATATCTTCACAGAACAAGAGAATATTTCTGACGAAGATATATATTCGAAACCGGTCAAATACATCTCTTGTATTGTGAAGATATTCATTCTCATTCATACCTTTCAACATACTATATTCAAATTGGATTTGTTTACGAAGCAAGATGAAGGAGAGAAAGCGAGAGAAAGTCATCTTTAGGATAGAAGCATAAAATAAAATATTATAAAAAAATATATAATAAAAATATAATAAAAAAAAAATATATAATAAAAATAAAGATAAAAGAATAAAAGAAGTAGCATCAGTGATAAAGTATTTTATTAATGTGCCATCACTTGAAACTTTACAATGAACCAGTAATATGCTATGAAATAATGGGTCGTCGGTACAGGTTATAATCCATCGGACATTTCACTACGTCAAATTATTAATGCGATATAAGATACAGCAACGTCGGTTTAGGATATTCACCAGTACTAATTTCTTAACCTCGGGCCATTTATATAATATGCAGGTTGCAGTATAGTTTATAATCACTAATATGACTGCATCATAGGTTGCAGTATAGTTTATAATCACTAATATGACTGCATCATAGGTTGCAGTATAGTTTATAATCACTAATATAATTGCATCACAAGTTGCAGTATAGTTTATAATCACTAATATGATCGCATCACAACAGTTATATAATGTATAGTGAAGGATCATCACTATAGGATATATATCATTGCTATTGCATCAAATAATTCATGCAATATGCAATACATCAGGGTATGTATTACCACTAACATCACAACATCAAACCAATTGCAAAATATACAATACTACAACACCGTCACAGGTTATACACCTTCACAAATACCACAAATTTAAACCAGTTATACAATATACAATGCTACAACACCAGACCTGTTTATACACTACCAAAACCATCATAAAATCAAACCAATTATACACCATACAGCAATACATCACAAACATGTCAACATCAAACCAGTAAAATACAATATACAATGCTACAACAAATTATAACCCATCATAAAATCGAACCAATCATACAATACACAGCAATATATCGCAAACATGACAACACCAAGCCAATAACATACAATAAACAATTAGACACCACAAACATGACACCAAACCAACCATACAAAATACAGTAAGACACCATAACCATGACAGCACCAAACATTGACATATAGCATACAATACTACACCACAAACATGGCAACACCAAACCAATCATACAAAACACAACAATACACCACAAGCATGACAATACCAAACCAACAACATACAACACACAGTAATACACCACCACAACAAATTATAACCCATCACAAAGTCAAACAAATCATACAACACACAATCCTACACCACAAGCATGGCAACACTAAGCCAATAACATACAGTAAACAATAAGACACCACAAGCATGACATCAAACCAAAAATATACAACATATGATACTACACCACAGACATGACAACACCAAACCAATAACATACATAATACAGCAATACACCACTAACGCAACACCATACCACTAACATACAACATACAATACCACACACAAACATGACAACACCAACCCAATAACACACAAAATACAATATTGCATTACCACAACAAATTATAACCCATTACAAAATCGAACCAATCATACAACACACAATAATACACCACAATACTACCCAAAAATGACAACACCAAACCAATAACACACAACATACAATCCTACACCACAAACATAACACCAAACCAATCATACAAAATACAATCCTACACCACAAACATAACACCAAACCAATAACACACAACACACAATCCTACACCACAAACATAACACCAACCAATCATACAAATTACAATCCTACACCACAAACATAACACCAAACCAATAACACACAACACACAATCCTACACCACAAACATAACACCAAACCAATCAATACAACACACAATACCACACCACAAACATAACACCAAACCAATAACACACAACACACAATCCTACCCCACAAACATAACACCAAACCAATCATACAACACGCAGTCCTACCCACAAACACGACAACACCAACCCAAAACCACACAACACACAATCCTACACAAAACATAACACCAAACCAATACAAACACAATACACACCACAAACATAACACCAAACCAATAAACAACAACACAAATCCTACCCAACAAAACATAAACACCAAACCAATCATACACAGCAGTCCTACCCCACAAACACGACAACACCAACCCAAAACCACACAACACACAATCCTACACCACAAACATAACACCAAACCAATCATACAACACACAATCCTACCCCACAAACAGGACAACACCAAACCAATACCATCCAACATACAACACAAACACGACACCACCAACCCAACCTCATCCCAAATACAACACTGCCTCACCGTCACAGGCTACGGACTGAGGCAGCCGGTGGGGCACCTTGACTTCTACCCCAACGACGGCGGAGAGCAGCCCGGTTGCGAGACCATTGCAAGGGTTCCTCTCACTGCAATGACGGACGGCAATAACCTCCTGGAAGGTGAGGTGATCTCGCGGGAAACGGCTTGGTTGTGGGCGATGGCGAGGTGTTTCGGTTGTGTCTCTGGGGATGCTGTTTCTTGCTTTGGGTGTGTGTGGATCTGTGTCTCTGTTTGGTACTCTGTTAGTCTGTCTGTCTCTGTCTCTCTCTCCTCTCTCTCTCTCTCTCTCTCTCTCCCTCTCTCTCTCTCTCTTCTCTCTCTCTCTCTCTCTCCTTTCTTTCTCTTTCTCTTTCTCTTTCCTCTTTCTCTTCTCTCTCTCTCTCTCTCTCTCTCTCTCTCTCTCTCTCTCTATATATATATATATATATATATATATATATAATATAGATAGATAGATAGATAGATAGATACATACATACATACATTTACATATATATACATTATATGTGTATTATTATATATATATATATATATATATATATATATATATATATATATATAGTATGTATGTGTATGTCACGTATATATATATATATATATATATATATATATATATATATATTATATATATATATATATATATGTGTGTGTGTGTGTGTGTGTGTGTGTGTGTGTGTGGTGTGTGTATGTGTGTGTGTGTGTGTGTGTGTGTGTGTGTGTGTGTGTGTGTATTATATAAATACATACACACACATATGTCTATATGTGCATCCTCTTCCCACTCCTTCCCTCCAACTCACCCCACCCTCCCTCTTCTTCCCTCCTTCCCTCCTCCCCCACCCACCCCTTCCTCCTCCCCTGCCTCACACCCCACTACCCTCTCCTTCAGGTCTCGACGCGGCGCAGAAGGACCTGGTCGCCTGCCGCCACTACCGCGCCCCCAAACTCTTCACGGACGCTATCCTCTCGACTTGTCCTTACATGGCCTTCCAGTGCGAGTCCTACACAGCACTACCTGGCCGTAAGTACCTGTCGCTTTCGTAAACAAGCCCTTAGGAGGGAGAGAGGGAGGAGGGAGAGGGAGGGAGGGAGGAGGGAGGGAGGGAGAAGGGAGGGAGGGAGGGAGGGACGGAGAAGAACGCTAGGCAAAAATGGTAGAAAGTGAAAGGGGGCTGGGTTGGTAGGCCTACATTAGGAGAGAAATTACTGCTTATTGTTTTTTTTTTAAGTATATTAAATTACTGTTTATACCTTTTAGGGTTAGACTCCTTTTTAACGACTGTATGATAACTGATTAAATTCTATTGTTAACTACCCTTATTAACTGACCATCTATTATTATTAATTAACTAACCACTGTTGTTACAGCGATTACATATTAGACACAACATACATTAACGATTATATTAGGTTATCAGCTGCTAAGTACATCAACGGTTTAATTATGTGATTGACTACCACATATATTCACGAATGTTTCCAATCATTAATACATAAATCAACGACTAAGATAAGCTATTAACTACTACACATATAAACGACTGAATCCCAGTCATAAAATCAACTTTAATACATTTAGTTAACTTAACCTCCATCTTTCAGTGTTTATTAATAATTTGTTTTAAAAGGTATATAGAAAATATTTTACTTCATATAATTGCTAAGAAATATTAATTCTATAAAATTGAACAGTTAACCAGCTTGAAACACTATCACTTGTCATAATCGTATATATTTATATATCGAATAATTCTAGGGACCATGAGCATGTTAACTCTAGGGATCATAATTATAATAATTCTAGGGGTCATAAGCATAAACAATTTAAGGGATCGTAACTATACACAAGATAGTGATCCTAAGTATAGACATACTACTAACCAAACCCATAGTCATTTTTTATAATAAATAATCATATACACCGCTAAGATACAACAAAAAATCACTCACCAACGGAATTTATATAAGGGCAAATGTACGAATTGTGGCGAGGACGGTTCAAAATGCGCGCGCTTGGGACTGCAGGCGGAAAAGTGGCCGGGAAGGAACCGGACGAAGCACGTCACCATGTTTCTCTCGACGGCTAATGGACCCCACTATTGCTGTGAGTTTTACGTTTTGTAGGTTTTGTGTGCGTGTTTATTTGTCCTAGTATATTTTTCGCTTTATTTTTTAATATCTGTTTGTTTGTTTTTTAGTATTTTTCATGTCTTTCCTCTTTTTTTTTTCCTTTTCTCAGTCTACCATGCTCTTTTATTCTCTTTCTTTTAGTAGAATTTGTACAAAATAATTTTGCCTAAGAGATCACGATGATTTTGGCATCGATGGATTCCTTCCAGTCTCCGCTATTCACATTTAGAGAAATTATTGCGCAGACCCCCCCCCATGGGATAGCAGGGGAGGCCAAGAGTACCAGGGAAATTACGGGGTAAAATATGAATAATTTACCCAGAATCAGTCACTATATTGTCTAATGCAGGGGGGTTGTGCGACCCTCCCCTGCTCCCGCCCAGGAAAACAAAGAATCCTCCACGTATTTAAATTAGTAGAGAGCTTATAACCGCCTTGTAGGAGCGGCCATTGGCGAGTCTGTCGGACGCTCTCTCCTGTCGGGAATACTGGAGGATTCTTTGCTTTCCTGGGCGGGGAGTGAAGGTGCTGTCACACTAGTACTTTTTCTCGTCAATTTTTTTACAATTTTCTGATTTTTTTCCATTTTTGAGCGAATTGTCGATTTTCCAGTCAGACGATAATGATCGTTTCCGTCTGAAAACCTTTCCGTCAACTTTTTTCAGCCAAGCATAGTCAAATCAAGAGCTATATTCGAGAATGTTTGTATTTATGTTAAATAAAATTGTCCAAAAATTTACGGAAAAAGTGCTAGTGTGACAGGGCCAGCTGCATTAGACAATAAGGAAACTGATTCGGTGTATATTTTTTAATATTTGGATCCGTAATTTCCTGGTGCCTTGCATGCCCTCCACTGCTATCGGGGCTGAGAGTGTGGGGGTTGGGGGGGTTGGGGGGTTTCCGCGTAATAGTTTATTTGTTGATAGTAGAGTGTGAGAGGAAGTCATCTATATCAAAATCGTCGCGATCTGTTAGGCGGAAATATTGTGTAAAATTACTCTTGATCTCTCTCTCTCTCTCTCTCTCTCTCTCTCTCTCTCTCTCACACACACACACTGTTAGGCGGAAATATTGTGTAAAATTACTTTGTTTCTCTCTCTCTCTCTCTCTCTCTCTCTCTCACACACACACACACCCACACCCACACACACAGTCACACACACACAATCAAACAAACACACACAATGACTCACACACTCACCCTCACCTTTACCCACACCTTCATTCTCTCTGCCTCCTTACCATAATTTCTGTCGCATATTAAAAAACAAAAACAAAAAATAGGTTACCCACACCTCCCTACCATTACATCAAGAACCTTCCTTGCATTCCAGTGTACCATTACCGAGTGACCATAGAAGTGGCTCTCATCCCCGGCAGGATAGGCCCACTTCGCGGCCACTTGCGCCTCTACGTCATCAACGCCAACGGGAAACTACGCGAGCTTCACTTGTCTCAGTACGTCGCGAAGGGTCTCGGCAAAGACTATATACGAAAGATAGGAAAGCATGGCAAAAGTCTGTGATCTCCAACGGTTGGCGGATAGTGTAATATCTGAATAATAGATGGCGCTGTGTGAAATTTTGGGTCTCGCATTTTTTAAAACGGTGTGATACGTGCTTTCCTCTCTTTCTTATATGGTCTTTGGTCTCGGTTTGGTTTGAAATGAGGTCATAAACACGTACGTAACGGTTTTTGGTATTAGGATGTTGAATGATAGTTACGTATTTACGTAGGTAGGTAAAATGATAACAAATAGCGTTGCAGAAACGGTATAATAACTTTGTTTTATTATCATTGTTTCTTTTTTTAGTAATAATTCTGATTATTTCATTTATCTTTTTTTCAAAATGAGCTTGTTAGTCGTAACAGTCCCTGTTGTTGTTCGAATGAGTTATTATAGCTTGATGTTTACTTGTCTTTGGCTGGTTATATTCCTTTCGTCGGGGTATTGCCGTTGAATAATATAGATAAATTGATAATGTAGAGATAGATAGACAACATAGTGTATCCCTCTACAGTTCTCCATTAATTTCACCGTCATGTTAACTTCTTGTCTTAAACTGGATAATAAACCTTACATTTGAATTATGAATAATACACGGATACATGAAGAGGTATAAACCTAACGTTTGGGTTTTTACCGTTGAATAATACACTGATACACGAAGAGGATAGACAGACAGGCTTTATCGAGTGCACCTTTCTCCAGCTCGGCCAAGACCTTCCAGCCAGGGAGGAGCTACACATTCCTGGCGCATCACCGGCAGGACCTCAGTGACACGCAGGAGATTCTCGTCCACTGGAGTTACGAGGCGAGTCCTTTCGATCCTTCCACTTTCTGCGTCCTCTTCTGCGACTCCAGTCTGCCCCTGACCAGCGTCTCCCTCATCGGCGTGGATCAGGTGGCGGATAGGTGAGATCAGGCTGACCTTTTGTGTAAGGAAGTAGGGATCGTTAGTATAAGGCCTTCTGGAAGTGAATTGAAAAAAAAAGATAAAATGTATATAAATACCATATCTGATTTAGTTATTCATGATTTAATAATAATAATAATAATAATAATAATAATAATAATAATAATAATAATAATAATAATAATAATGATGATGATGATAGTAATAATAATAATAATAATAATAATAATAATAATAATAATAATAGTAATAATAAATAACAAATATATAATAATAATAATAATAATAAACAAACATCACTACATCAAAAATTTTCCTCACTCCCCCTTAAAAAGGCGATACAACAACTACCTCAGCGAAGGGCCAGACACCGTGGTCATGTGCCACAAGCAAGGTCATGACCTCATCCTGATCAAGAGCGGAGAGACCGTGAAACTCGTGTCGTCCCCCAATTGCAACTTGTTAAGAAAACGCCTCATAAAGCTTCTGGAAACCGTGTCCGAACCGCTTCGAAACCTCAAGACAGTGTTCGAACCTTTTGACCCACTCGAGACTGCGAATTGGGTCGTGTAAGGCTAGAGGGAGTGAGGTCGGGTTTTGGGTAAGTTTGGGGTTGAGTTGGGATAGGTTTTTGGGTAGGTTTGGTTGCGTGCGGGCGAGTTTGGGGGAAGTTAGAGTAGGATAGGATAAGTTAGGTTTGGTTAGGATAGGTTTTTGGGTAGGTTTGGTTGGGTGCGGGTAAGTTTGGGGTAAGGTAGGACAGTTAGGGGAAGTTAAGAGTAGGTTTGGGTAAGTTAGAATAGGATAGGAGAAGTTAGGGTTGGTTGACATAGGTTTAGGTGAGTTTGCATATATTTAGGAGAAGTTAGATTACGTTTTCGGTAGATTAGAGTAAGTGGGGATAGATTAGGATACTTCAGAATAGAATAAAGTAGATTTAGGTAAATTTACGTTATCTAGGATGAGTCTGCATAAGTCGGGACAAGGTTAGGTTAGCGTAGATAAGATAGATTCAATCTAGTATACATAGTGATAGATTGGATTAGAGTAGTGTCAGTACATGTTAGAACATGTTACAGCAAGTTTAGGTAGTGCAGGATAAATTTTAGAATAAGTTTGACTTGATCAGTGTCTAAGATGAAGATAATGTTAATTTATATAGATCGCTGGCTCACTGGTTAAGCTAAAGGAGTTAGGTCAAGTTAGTTTAGTTAGGTATTCCTGAATCAAGTCATATTAAACCTTAATTTTATAACGACGATGATTATCTTAGCCTAGAATGGATTGAAGTTACCGTAGCACAGGATGATTTTCAATTCATTAGGCAGGTTAGGATAACAGACTAGCATAGGTTAGTTTATGTTATATTACGTTTGTTTCCTTTCACAACATTAAATTTTAAGTTAGGGCGAAGTTTGATTGGAAAGTATGATTTTGGTTAGGTTAGATTCAATTACATCGTCAGGTAGGATAGAATAAAAGAGATTAGAATAGGTCAGATTGTTTAGACTATCATACTTATTTTTCACTAGATTGGGTTGAGGAAGTTTGGTTAAGTTATGTTTGTTTTAATAGCAGAATCATTTTTGGATAAGTTAAATTCAGTAGGTTCGGCTAAACTAGTGTAGATTATGATAGTTACTTTAGGCTAGATTAGTTTGATTAATTTGGATAAAGTTTTAGTATGACAGGATCAATTTTGGAAAAGCTAGATTCAGTTGGATCGCAAAGTTAGGTTAAATTAGTCTAGATTAGGTCAGGTAGGTTAGGTTAGACATATTAATACATATATAAAGTAGGTCAATATTTTTGTTTTTCGAAGGAAGGGCATCCAATCCCAAAAAAAAAAAAATCTATTTTGTGATATGTGATATATTTTCAGTATTATGCTTACGTCATGCAATTACATGCTGGAAAAATATGGTATTAATGTAATGTCTTATGCATCGCCATTTTGAATTCTCTACATCCACGAATCATCATCAAAACCTGTGGTATTTAATTTCTTTTCAGAGCATATCATTACATTTGTCATTTTCACCTCCATTTAAGAATATCACCCACTTTCGAAATATTATTTGCATTTTGGAATGTTTGTAGAAAGTCAATGAATTCTGAAGTCTTATTTGTGTTTTGATAAATCCTTGTTTGAAAATGTGGTATGAATAAAGATATTTGAGTGGGAACATTATAACACATGCAGGAATTATTATTATTATTATTGTTGTAAGCTATATAGAAAGCCACACCGAATAAATCGAGATTAATACCAACAAAGATTGTCAGTGCA